TACTCTATGTGAAACTGTTGTGCCACGTATTCATCACATGACTCAACTCTATTCAATCTATGTATTTTCTCACAAACAATCAGGGTACGAAGAATGGGCAAAAGATTGGTACAAAGTCAAAGGTGTTTTCACTGAAATTATCCCACTTTCTGACTCAATTCGACAATGTGCTCGACATTGTGACGAAGATTTGGTCGTGATTAGTGCTGTATCGTCTTTGAATGAACTCGAATCATCATTCGTATACATACAACTCTTCAAAGAAATTATACTTGGAATCGATTTCAATGAAAAGAAAGAAATCAACGCTCTAGTAGAATATGCACATGAGAAGTATGCTGACAACGATGAGCACTTGAAAATGATTAACGAATTTGCACGAGAATATCGAGGTAACTTGGATGGAAACAATAAACCCATCTGGTGGTATACTCGAGAATGTTTTGCGTATCATATGCTCAACAGAGCACTGGGTACTCTACAAGTTGAGACCCTCTTCAGAATAGGTATCTTTATTCGAGATCTTCATCGAAATATTGAGAAACTTCATTCCGAGCAATCGAATGATATCCATGGCTCAACAACACCTATTACAGTCTATCGAGGTAAAATCATGAACAAGCAAGATTTTGACAGTAAAATTAAACAAGATGGATTGATATCATTTAATAATTTCTTATTAACAAGTAGCAACCGAAATGTCGCCATTCATTTTATAAAGGAAGGGCTCATGTTCACCAACAACAAGAACAAAATCTGTATTCTTTTCACAATGATTATTGATCGATCGATTACATCAACACCATTTGCCCGCATAGACAAAATTAGTTATTTCAAGACAGAAAAAGAGATTCTGCTTTCAATGCACACAATTTTCTGTGTCCAAGAAATCAAAGAAATTGAGCATAGTGAACCGAAGTTGTGACAAGTCAAACTTTCACTCACCGCTGATATTGAAGAGCAGCAGCTGAATGCTCTTACGAAACGTGTACGAGAGGAAATTATTGGAATAGGTTGGTCGCAAATGGGTTTCCTGCTATTAAAAATGGGTGAGAATGACAAGGCTAAACAAGTGTACACCATCTTACTCGAACAGGCATCTGATGAGAGCGATAGAGCCACTTTCTATAATAATTTGGGACTGATCAAAAGTAACCAAGGAAAATACGAAATGGCCATTGAATTTCACGAGAAATCACTCGATATCAGGGAAAAAATTCTTCCTTCGACCCGTCCTCATTTGGTTGCTTCCTATAACAACGTCGGAGAGCTGTACAGAATCATGGACGAGTACACGAAAGCAATTTTATTTTACAATAAAGTGGCCGACGTCTTCGAAAAAACTATCCCTCCTAACCATCCCTTCTTGGCTACTTCTTACAACAGCATCGGAAAGGTGTATTATAAGGTCGGTGAATACTCAAAAGCGCTTTCATTTTATGAAAAAACACTTGCTATCAAAGAAAAAACTCTGCCTTCAAACCATCTCGATTTGGCTACTTCCTACGATAACATCGGTTCAACATATGATAACATAGGCGATTACTCGAAAGCACTTTCATATTACGAAAAATCGCTTGAAATACGACAGAAATGTCTTCCTGAAAACCATTCAGACCTTGCCCAATCCTACAACAGTATCGGTTTTGCGTATAAAAACATGGGCAAGTACTCGAAAGCGCTTTTATTTTATGAGAAAGTGATGCATATGTTCGAAAAAACTCTTCCTACGAATTATGCATCCTTGGCAACTTCCTACAACAACATCGGTTTAGTGTACCACAGCATGGGCGAGTACTCGAAAGCACTTTCATTTTACGAAAAATCACTCGATATTCGAGAAAAATCTCTCCCACTAAACCATCTGGACATGGCTTGTTCCTACAATAATATCGGAGGAGTGTACTATAGCATGGGCGAGTATTCGCAAGCACTTTCATTTTTCGAAAAATCACTCAATAACTGGCAAATATCTTTCTCACCAGCTCACCCACATATCGCAATATCGAAAGAAAACATTGAACTGTTGAAAAAGAAATTTTAGCTGACTTTTTTTGCTACAGCAAAAAAAATTTCGTTCAACGTTTGCTTGTATTGATTACTAATTTTTCCGTTTAAAATATTTCTATATGCATGTATTAACAGAGAGAAGCTCTGACAACGATACAATGTATTTGTACTCTACATAAACTACGACAGCAACATACATGTCAAAAACATCTCCATATACTCCTGTAGATACAAATAAGAGGATGTGGTTGTTGGTATAGGTACGAGAGTCAGTTCTTCGTTCTCTCTAATAAAGACCCACAATTACAACCACACGAACATCCCATCCACACGCACACCCCACACCCACATCCACCCACATTCTACAATAGAATAGAAACGTGGTAAACTGAAAAGAATACATTAATTACCAGCATCAAATTTTACAACATGTATGAATAAATCTGATCAAAAACAAGTGAAGTGGCAGTGGATGTGCCATCCATCATCGCTACTGAGCTGTTAAAGAAAAATTGTAGTTAAGTTATAATAAAAGACATAGCATTCATTGTTGTCTGCGGATTAAAAAAAGCACGAGCTAGAAATAATTCATTGTTAGGAGTTGTTTGATAAGATTTAAGTATATCAAACATAGCTGAAAATAGTTAAAGTCGGTGTTTGTTTTCTTCTCACATATTTTAAACCTGGTTCTACAATGAAACTTACAAAATACTAAAACATGCATTAACAGTACATAATCCTTAACTAATTTACGTGTTAATGGCATAATTGTTAATGTTTGTGATGGCATCTAAAATGTAACAACCTGTTCTTCATGCATTTTAATAATTGAGATTTTTTTCTTTATAACACGTTTTTTCACCTTTGTAGAAAAAATTTTTAGTATTATATTTTTTCTATATGGCAGATGATTGTGATCAGCGTTAATCTTCAGTACAACTTCTTGGACACTAAGTGTACACGTAGGCACAACAGCTATCTGCTTGACACATTCAATATTTTTTCGTTTTAGTTTCTTTGTGTTTTTGTACAAAACACCATTTAACACGAGGTAAGGCTTGCCTTTGTTCCACACAGAAAAATATGAATTATCACTGATGGTTGACATTAAATGTACTACTAATGAGTTTATAAGCAAAAACAATTAATATCTCTATAATAAAAAATCAATACGTGTTTCGATCTTATTGGTAGTCGATAGTTATCTTTCTTCGTATGTTAATAGTCGCATTACACAATACACAGTTACCAAGACTATCGTACGACACCTTTAGACACCAATCGAGCACAAATGAACAATAAATTGTCTATTCACATCATCATCGTTCGACATTTTCTTTTTGATATTTTTATGATCGACATTTTTCCTTCAGCTGTTTCAATATATATTACTCTATGTCTTCATCAAAGAATTGTCAGTCGAATGTTTTACTGTCGTTTTGTCTTGAGTTTTCACATCAGCAAGATGATTCATCATTCTGTCATTGTACAATTACCATATATTGCATGATCAAGAAACACCGTAATTAGATATGCATAGAACGCAATAGTGAAAAAGAGAAAGAAACTCCTAAATCTTTTTGTTGGACAGGACAAAAAAGTTTTTTTTTTGCAAGACTCTTGTTGATTCAATTCAATTACGCTTCAATAATTACTGGCTGCACAATGAAACTTAAGCACGAGAAAGCTGGCAACAGTAGAAGCAATAGTTTGCCATCCTTTTCTATTGAAGCCAGAAAACATCCTTGAGAGTCAATAAAAAGTATAGATTGAAAATCGAGAAAAAAACCATCATCAAAGAACATTTTCGTTTGAATAAAGCAACTTTCTCGTTGAATAACCTTCACTCATTCATTTATGATCTCAGCGTGACGACAAATATAACTTTCAACACTACGTACAATATGGGCTGCAGTGGATCGGTGCCAACAGATAACTCTCTCAGCCATCGTCTTAAGACAGTAACGCCATCATCATCATCGTCACCTACTACTTACACAAATTCGAACTCTATCATTTTACAACGGGATCATCGGACGCTTTCACATGATATTATTCAAAACTTTCTTATACTTTGGCTCGATGAAGA